AAAACTTTGATATAACATTTTGTTCAACATGTAATTCAAGATATGATCGAACTAAAAATCAAAAAAGTAGTTTAAGAGATAGCTTAAGTAAAAATGAAAAAACAAGCCAAGACAATATAATTAGCCAAGATACAGTCAGCCAAGATACAACTGACCAAGATATAATCGACCAAGATGAAATTAGCTATGATACAATCGATCAAGATACAATTGGCCAAGATATAAGCGATCAAGTTATAACTGACCAAGTTATAACCGACCAAGATAGTGAAATAGAAGTAACTCAACCAAAAACAACGGAAGTAATGGTAGCCTATTTGACTGAATTAAAAGTGAAAGTTTTTATTAATACTAAAAAAACTAATTCTTTAGCAGGAAATTAGTTGATTTTTAAAGAAGAAATTAACAATTTTCACCTGTTTCAATCGAGTTTAAATAATCATATTTAGATCAATTTATTTATGATAATGATTATGAAATAACTTATAAGATTAATGGTCGAGGACAAGCTATATGCATAAATAATCATGAGGATTTTTTAAATTTTGTTAGTAAATGTAAAGAACCTGATAATTTGACCAAAATGATGTATATTTATATTGCTTTAAAAAATCTGGATCAAGTTCACAAAAGAAAATCAGAAGTATAATTTTTTATTTATTATTAGAGTTGGATTAGTCCATCTAATTCATCTTGGTCTCTAGTAAAACCAGTCCCAATAGTATCTATAGTTCAGTTTAGTCTGGTCTCTGGTCTCAAAAATAAGCTATTCTTATGTAAGTAATTATTAATTTTTATCAAAATAAAATTTATATAAGAAAAAAAAAAAACTCTTTCTATCTATCACTTGTACACAAATTTCGCCCAAAAATTTTTTATGTTTTTCTTAATTTACGGAAAATTTTACTAAGTTAATAACCTTTTGGTCCTTAAATAAACTTGTTTAGCTACTATTTTTACATATACTCATAAAGTCTTAAGTCGCTATCTATCGTCAGTCTCAAGATATTCGACTTTCAATGTCAGATGGACAAAAGTCTGTTCTTCCCCCAAAGTTTTGCCCCTCCCGGCAAACTGGGCTTAATAACATCCTCATATACCATAATAGAAATTGTAGAGCTCATCCACAGTTTCATAACAAGCTATAGCATATCAATTTTGACCCAAAATTAACGTCCCTAGACTATTTAGTATCAAAACTCCTTTTTTCTTCTCTCCTTAGCCCCAAAAAGTTCTTTCTTAGCTTACCCATTCAAATCGTTTTTGTGTAACAATCGGACTTGCTAATCCGATTTGTTTATATTCTTGCACACAACTTGCATAA